AGGAGCTGCAGCCTTGGAAGAGGTATACTAGGCCAGCCCCTGACATTCTGCTCACACTTCTATAGGTCACTATCCTAGAGATATGGGTGTATCCTCAAATGCAATATTCAGATATGGCGTCCTCGTCCTGAGCCCAGCTTCCAAGCCTTCACTCCTTTTCTTTTCTCTCCCAGTGTGAAAAGTAGCCACTGCTAGCCAATAAGTCCCGATGGGTGGACCTCATGTGCCAAAAAGAACATTTTATTTCTACCTATAAATTTACAACCTCCACCAAAATGGACGTTCCCCCCAGTTGTCTTACCATTAAAGAGTGGACTAGCTTTAGAGTTGTAGAACACATTCAAAAAGCTACAGAAATCATTGAGGATTCAGAAGTAGAAGCTGAGACATTAACATTTGTATTGATTAGAGACCAACATGATATCATGGACAAGGAGGCATAGCTCGTTAGTTAAAATTCTCTTTTTCACTAACCCTTAGGAAAACAGCCAGTTCCTAGAGAACCGACTATTTGCCAGGTTTTTGTCTAGGCCAGTGGTTCTCAAACTAGGGCCATCAGTTGTTCAGGGAAAGCCCCTGACAGGACGGGCCGGTTTGTTTACCTGCTGCGTCCGCAGGTTCGGCCGATTGCAGCTCCCAGTTGCCACGGTTTGCTGCTCCAGGCCAATGGGAGCTGCAGGAAGTGGCGCGGGCTGAGGGGACCACGGCCACTGGGAGCTGCGATCAGCTGAACCTGCGGACACGGCTAGTAAACAAACCGGCCCGGCCCGCCAGGGGCTTTCCCTGAACAAGTGGCAGCCCTAGTTTGAGAACCACTGGTCTAGGCTACTAAGAGAAGGAGGTTGGTCAGAGAAGCAAACAAAAAATTATACAGCTATAAAGAAAAGTTAAGTCACAAAGTGTGCCCCCCAACTTTAATAGTGTTTTGGTAAGATTATAAACTGAGAGTCACCTCCATTTAAGACAATTAAGCTACACAGATTTACACCAGCTGAGGCTCTAGCTCCTAATACTTGGGACCTGATTCTGACCTCATACAGTTCTATGCTAGTGCAACACCACTATTTGCAACTATACAGTTCTCATACAGTTCTATTTCAGTGCATCTATTCCTGATTTACTTCGATGTCAATGAAATAAGAATCTGGCTCCATATAGTTTGACATGAATTTCTAACATAAGCTTCCTTGAAAGAACACATGGCAACATTTAAAGTTATGCATTTTTAAACTTTCTTAAAGTCAGAATAAGAATATTTATGAGAAAATCTGCATGAATATAGATCTTTACTTTAAACATCTTTTGGAAAGCTCACTGTATGGTCACCTTAATAAGAGTTTGTGCTTTAGCAGTTTGAGAAAGGGGTAATTAATATCCTCTGTAAGGCACAGTTTATTCAACCTTTAGCATCCTTTCAAAGCAATTAACAATTCAAAAGAATGGGGTGAGCGCTAATTAATTCCATTTCAGTGTCACAAGAAAAAAGTAAAAGCTTCATTAATCCAGATCAAAGAAAAAATTCTTGACTACTTGTATTAATCTGAAAATAGATTATTACAGTTCATAACTTTAAAAAACGAGGAAATTTTCAGACTGCAGTAAGGTGACAGAAAATAGAAATGATACATGATGGCATTTCTAGGTAGTAATTTCCTTTCTATGTGGAACCTACTGACAATGATCAAACACAACAAGACCTGCACTCTGATTATATCATGGTATGGAGGAACTGTGAGGTTGCAGAAGGTCTACAGTGACACAAAAGTCACTTATCCTAGTATGACATGTCTATTTACATCTTAGTTTCCCCTCTTAACCCATTTCTAAAAATGTGCTCAAAGCCTCTAGCTCCATGTACAAACTACCAAAACTCTTCTATATATTCTTTAGTTAAAATGCCAATTAAAAAATAAATCACCCTTGACTTTCCCCACTCCAAAAAAATCCTACCACCACCAAAGACTCCATTAATGTTTCCCTCAAACTGCCAGTTTAGGAGAAGTCTAGGAAAATACTATGTACTATGGCCTAGTTCAGGAAACTCAGGTTCAGTTCTTCCCCATACCTTTGGGGAGCAAATTCAACAGTCCCCCATTGAGAACATCCTTCCCCCAACATCCGGTTGAACAGATGTACGAACTGTCCACTTGACCATCCCAGATGATCCAAACCGCTGGGTTGGACAATGGCAGACAGGCTGCAACTGGGACACACATCCCAAACCATAAAGAGTTTGATGGATCAGTATTAACCCCTTAAACTACACACAGCCTCAAGCACTGCTGTGAAGGAGGAAAAGACAGCTGGCTTCTCCTCTGCCACAGAGACCACAAAGCCATGCTCCCCTGAGAACTTTCTGGACCATAAATGTTTTTATAAGCTACAGAAATTCTCACTGTGAGGAATTATCGTATTTCACAGAGAAGATCACTTGCATCTAGAATGGACTCTCGGGATACTAAGAACAAGCACAGAACTGAAAAAACACCACCATCACAACACAACTTGGCCCATTCACACATGTAGTAGTCATGGAAGACTAGAGAAACCACCTATGTCTCTGGACCCCTGCCCTCTGAACCTGGGAAAATAAAGTAGAGAGGTATTGTTTTTTGAAGAGCGAGCTCTACCAACAGCCCTAATATCCACCATTATTATTAAGTTAGTCTGAAGCCCTGTGAACCTCATTGTTACTGGATACCCAGATAGCTCTAGAGCCACAAAGCGGCCAGTCAGGCAAATTTAAAGTTGAAGGAAAAGACACAGGAAAAAGAAGAGAAGACAGGTGGAAATTGCTGGGAAAGAGCATGAACCCTTCATCTGGTCTGTCCTTTCTCAGTTTAGAAGGCAAATGGGGAGAATGGAAAATAACCAAAACCTCCAATTGGTATTCTCTGGACAGGGGTGTCTCAGGCCTCCCTGTCACATACTGATTACTCCCATAATCCCCCAAAGGCCATGCTCTGCCCCTCCCCAAGTATACAGCCTGTGCGGGAGGTAAGGGTTTCCCTTGCATCTGGATTATTTTTAAATAGCAGATTTGTGTTTAATTACTGATGGACTTTTCAGATTTGTAAAATTGTCTGGGGCAAAAAGCATGATAAGCTTACACTTTCAACCTTGAAAATCCTTTAAAGTTATTAATATAGAAAAGAACTGCATTAATATTAACTTGTTTGATTTCTGTACTGCAAGAAAATTAAAATGGCATTAGAACACTATAACCTCCCCGCCCTTTATTAATCTGAAATCACAGTTCCAGCTAAAAATAAACTAGAATGTTTTCAATACATATTCTCGGCAAAGAACAATAGAGTATCTGTTTTGGCAGTTTGTGTGTCTTAAGGCTTATGACATTTTAAGTGCAGAATTTCCTTTCTGTGGAACAAACCAGCAGTAATAAGATACATAAAGATCTGCACTGTGCTTGTATAATGCCATGGGTGAGCTGTGAGGAGGCAGAATGCCTTCAGTGACCCAAGGAATTAATTTATCTTGTATGACACATGCCCACTTGGGTTTTCATTAGCCATGAAATATATTTTAGAGAAGTCTAATTTAATTTTACTCTGATTATGTTACCCTGGACCATCCCTTTATCATTACCAGTAAACATGAACCATATTAACAGTTTATTTTAATTGCTTTTATTTATTATCTTTACAGCATGTTTATCAGAACATTTGAGGTATGTTCTGCATGAATTTTAAATTCTGTTATTTTAATTGTGGAAGTTTAACTGGTTTCTGCAGCTGAGCTGTCAGAAGAAATAACAATTTATTGAGGTAAATTTCTCATGCACTTTACATCCTGGCACCAGACTACCACAGGACATTTCCACATGCCTCTCTTCCTATGGTTGGACATGGATGGTGTCTTCTTATTTATATTATAATTTTTAATATTGATCTGAGCTATGGTGACATCAGCACACAGAAAAGGACTCAGAGTAATGAACTGATTACACGGAATTCCCTTAAAAGGACAGATGGTGGTTTTCTATTAATGCGTGTCAAGGCATGGATGTTCTCTGGCTCATTGTGGTAACAATCTTCTTCCATGGCCTAACAGTGACCTCCTCCCCTTGTCTTCCTCCCCTTTTTTGGTCTCTGTTGCCTTATTCTACACCTTATAAAATACAGTCTCTTGTTCAGAATGTTGCAGAGTGTAACAGGCCTTTACACTAGTATGAGATCTCCTTCATTTGTGAAGCTGCATTGTAAGGTTACCCCTATTCTAGGACAATTGCACATCCTGTATTTTGGCTTCCAATACGTTGACTCAGTTGTTGGAGTTTGGCATAAGACTGCCCATTGTTTGATACACAGTATGAGCTTGCTGTCACACAAAGAGCTTCTCTGTGTTGTATTCTTTGATATCCACGTTAAAACTAACTATTATTTCAGCAGTCACAAATATGTGCAATTCCTTTTGTTTTCATTTCTTCCTTCTCTCTCCCACAATCTGCTCCTCTGATCACTGGATAAATGCACCTCATGCATCAATCTTTTTTCATCTTGCCTTGTGGCATTTCCTGACTACTTTGTCCCCTCCCACAGCTACTTCTTCAGTACTTAATATAGCCTTACTTTTTAAACAAAATGGAAGTGCTGTTCCAATGCATTTCAGTTGTGATGTGAGACCAAACAAAGCTATAGCAACTTAAGAGCTCTCTCAGTATTGCTAACACCAATCACTTAGAAATCATGATTCAGACACTAGAAATCATAAGATTGGCTTAAAATCATGAGATTTTGAAAAAATTGGGGTTCTTTTTATTTGCCTTCTGGTTTTTGAGTCCTTAGGATACCCCATTGGGTGACATTTTCAAATGTTTCTCTGCCAACATGAAAGCTAGAAACTTACTTTTTAAAAAAATGAAAGCCAAAATTCTTATGTAATAACATGATTCCAGGAGCAAGGGTTTTATGTTAAATGTCAAATATAGTGTGAGTTTAGCAACTCTGCATTTCTGCAGTTAAAGTTTTGGTTAAACTTACCTCATTTAAATTCTGCAGTTGTTCAGTAGGTTCCTTTGGTGAAAGAAATGCGCACTGATCTATTCTACAATAGAAAAATAGAAAAATTCCATTGAACACTCCATTTTCCTCTATAGCAAATATTTCAGACTTTGTAGATCTGAATTTACATTATAGCAATTATGCTGTTGTTTCTGTGATAAGATCATACAATACTGTATTGAAAAGTCATAAAATTTCATATGAAATTTACCTCTGAATTCTGTATAACTCATTTAAATACACAATGAAGAGAAATATTGTTCAGAGTAATAGTGATTTTATTTGGAATCACTTTTGATGCATTTATACCACATATGCAGTCCTTAAAACTATCACAGTTACTAATTGGGAGGAAAAAAACAAAAAACTCTAAAAATTTGGGATCATTCCTTCAAAGAATGGGTGCACAATAGGGACCCTGTCTGGTGACCAAACCATGAGCAACAAGCAGCGAACCACTTATGGATATGCTTAACTTTAAACATGATTAGCCCTCTTTATTTCAATGGGACTACTCGCATGCTTAAAGTTAGGCCAATGTTTAAGTATTTTGCTGGATCACAGCCATAAAAGATAAATCTTTCCAGACTAACTTGATTATTATTAGGGCTGTCAAGCAATTTAAAAAATTAATCGCAATTAATCGCGTGATTAATCACACTGTTAAACAATAATAGAATACCATTTATTTAAATATTTTGGATGTTTTCTACCATTTCAAATATATTGATTTCAATTACAACACAGAATACAAAGTGTACACTGCTCACTTTATATTTATTTTTTATTTCAAGTACTTGCACTGTAAAAAAACAAAAGAAATAGTATTTTTCAAATCATCTAATACAAGTACTGTAGTGCAATCTCCTTATCATGAAAATTGAACTTACAAATATAGAATTATGTACAAAAATAACTGCATTCAAAAACAAAACAATGCAAAGCTTTAGAGCCTGCAAGTCCACACAGTCCTACTTCTTGTTCAGCCAATTGCTCAGACAAAAAAGTCTGTTTGCATTTGCAGGAGATAATGCTGCCCACTTCTTGTTTACAATGTCACCTGAAAATGAGAACAGATATTTACGTGCCAGATGCGCTAAAGATTCGTATGTCCCTTCAAGTTTCAACCACCACTGCAGGGAACATGCGCTCATGCTGATGATGGGTTCTGCTCAATAACAATCCAAAACAGTGTTCATTTTCATTATCTGAGTCAGATGCCACTAGCAAAAGGTTGATTTTTTTTTTTGGTGGTGGTGGTTTGGGTTCTGTAGTTTCCTCATCAGAGTGTTGCTCTTTTAAGACTTTTGAAAGTATGCTCCACACCTCGTCCCTCTCAGATTTTGGAAAGCGCTTCAGCTTCTTAAACCTTGGGTTGAGTGCTGTAGCTATCTTTCAAAATCTCACATGGGTACCTTCTTTGCGTTTTGTGAAATCTGCAGTGAAAGTGTTCTTAAAATGAACATGTGCTGGGTCATCATCCGAGACTGCTATAACGTGAAATTTATGGCAGAATGCAGGTAAAACGGAGCAGGGACCATACAATTCTCCGGCAAGGAGTTCAGTCACAAATTTAATTAACACTTTTTTTTTTAACGAGTGTCATCAGCATGGAAGCATGTCCTCTGGAATGGTGGCCAAAGCATGAAGGGGCATACAAATGTTTAGCATATCTGGCATGTAAATATCTTGTGACTCTGGCTACAAAAATGCCATGCAAATGCCTATTCTCACTTACTGGTGACATTGTAAATAAGAAGAGGGCAGCATTAAGTCCTGTAAATGTAAACAAACTTGTTTGTCTTAGCGATTGGCTGAACAAGAAGTAGGACTCAGTGGACTTGTAGGCTCTGAAGTTTTACATTGTTTGTTTTGAGTGGAGTTATGTAACAAAAAAAATTACATTTGTAAGTTGCACTTTCAGGACAAAAAGATTGCACCACAGTACTTGTATGAGGTAAACTGAAAAATACTATTTCTTTTGTTTATCTTTCACAGTGCAAATATTTGTAATCGAGAATAATATACACTTTGATTTCAATTACATCACAGAAAAACATCAAAAATATTTAATAAATTTCAATTGATATTCTATTGTTTAACAGTGCAATTAAAACTGCGATTAATCGTGATTAATTTTTTTGAGTTAATCACATGAGTTAACTGTGATTAATCAAAGGCTTTAATTATTATTATTTCTTTTTTAAAGAATGACAGAATCAGGCCCTGATCCTGCAAACATTTCTGGATGTGCTTAATTTTAAGCACTTCAGTAATCCCTGAACTTGACTGCATTCAGAGGGTATGTCTACACTGCAATTAAAAACCTGCAGCTGGCCCATGCCAGCTGACTTGGGCTCATGGGGCTCAAGTTAAGGGGCTGTTTAATTGCAGTGTAGATGTTCGGGCTTGGGCTGCAACCTGGGCTCTGGGACCCGATGAGGTCGGAGGGTCACAGAGCCCACGCTGCAGCCCAAGCTGGAACATCTACACCACAATTAAACAGCCCCTTAGCCTAAGCCCTGTGAGCCTGAATCAGGTGTCAAATTGCAGTGTAGACGTACCCAGAGAGCTTCATGGCCCTTCAGCTATGGAAGTTCTCAGGGCTCCATCCTCCCCTTCATCCTGTTCAACTTCTATGGGAAGCTGGTAGGGGAGACTGCTGAATTGTAGTTCATGCTGTCCCACAACATGCAGCTCTAAACCTCCTTCACATTAAGTGAAAACAGCACCATCTCCGAACAGTCTATAGGCATGGCCAAGATCAATAACTGGGTGAAGGGCAGCTGTCAAGGAGTAAGTACCAAAGAGGAAGAATTAACACTGGTCTACAATTTTTGAGAAGTCGTCTGCTTCAGAAATAAAATGTGCTATTTATTATGTATTTTGATG